TACAGAGTGGACTGTAATCAAAAATTACAGTCGCGACCCTAGCGACAAATTGACAGGGCAAACTGTAGAATTTCCTGTAGGATTTTTTAACAGTGATTCGTTCTCGAGTTATCGTGCGTACAGACAAACAGACACACAGACAAACAGACACGAAACTTTTTGATCATCACTGGAGTAATAGGCTTCGCTGTCGCTCAGCCAAAAAAGGCTTTATGTCACAGAATTGTAAAGGGAGTAATACTTAATAAAAATCTAGAGGTGCTGCGTGGTTGTTAGACAACTTGTCAGCCCAATTGGAACACACATTAAGTCACATTTGTATTTTACAAATACATAAATTTTATTGGAAACACAGAAATAAGATTTAAGGCCAAAAATGGTCGCATGTTGATAAAATTTAGTTCATTTTCTAACCAGAATCAATTTGTAGTCTGTTAGGATAGTTTTTTTAACTTCAGAACTGACGGCTAAAAAATAGGTTATATTATTCGGGGATGCGTTCGTATTAAATGACTGAGTTCGTCTGGAAGACTTGATCGGAGATTGACCACGACTGCTAGCTAGTTTTGTTTCACGGTCGTGGTCATTCTTTGGTCAAGTTTTTCATACGAACTAAGTCAGTTGTTAATAGTAACGCATCCCCGACCAATATAACCTTCAAGCTGCATGCATACTGCATGCTAATCTTACTCATCCTGCGCCATTGCCATCTTGTACTGACGTTGGTTGTTGTTGGTTATTTTCCTTCCTAATTTTGTGCTTCGTTACCATCGGTCAAGTAAGTTGCATGTTTCGTTGTTCAAGCCTTTCCAATTGTGTAGCTGTCAAGCTGTCATTACCACATTGTGTCAGATTTGTGATGTTTAAAGTATGAAAGTTTGAGCTTCACTTGAGGTCTGTCAAAACCATGCCGTCCGCCCTTTCGTCCGTTTGCGGGACCCGTTGTGATAGAAAGTGTGGGTTAAACCATGGTTATGCATCGCCATCGGTTTTATATGTATATGCTTGAAATATTTCGATTTGGTTTTATTCTTATGTGTGTGCGACGTGTGGTTTTCGAGAACGAGCGGTTCAGTGAAGTTAGCAGAGGCTGCATTTGACATGCATAAGGAAACACGCCTCGTTCTCGCGAACATAACCTCGCACAAACATCTGAGTGAAACGAGATCAAAATGTTTTAAGTTTAAACGCATTGTTAACCAGATCCGATTTCGATGTTTCATTCACATTTTCTATCTCAATGGATTTCAAACGAACGGACGTGGTTGGTAGTATTTGTGCAGACTTTTCGGTAAGGTTTCACATGCTGGATTTGGGACTAGCTTTAATGTTTTCTTTACATTTTAGGATGTGTGCTGCATATGACCCGTTTGCGGAACTTGACAATGTTCATGCTAGACCTAGGCGTGTTGACACACTAGTCCGTGGTGCCAAGTACGAGTGTAGCCGGTTCAGGTCCCAATTATCTGATTTCAAGGAGCGAGACGGCACCACGCCAAGGAACACTGTCGTTTAATTTAAAGATGGAGGGGTCAAATTTGCTGCCATTCGTCCCAAAGTGTTTAATAATAAATCGGAGCAATGGTTCTCAGCAATGAATGGCCTCATATCGGCCAACCCACCACCATCCATAGTTTTTTTTTATGGGAAGTGTGGCATGGCGAATTAGGTTGGCATACTTCGGTTTGGTGAAGGTAATTATTCATTTCTGTTCTGGTACGTGGATGTATTGGGTGCCTCAGCCTGTGCAGACACTCAGTCTATCCGTTCAGGCTCAGGCATTCAAGGCATTTGATACACCCGCGTATCTGCAGAGCATATCAGTTATTGTTTATTAATAT